TGAGTATCCTCTTCACTGATTTCCAGTTTGAGTCCAAAGGACATGACATGAATTGACTCACTTTATTGACACTAAAGGAAATTTCAGGTCTTGTTATAGTAAGATATTGCAAGCCTCCTACAATGCTTCTATAAAAGGTTTGATCAACTCCTGTTGGGCTGCCATCAAATTTAGAAAGCTGTATAGAAGTCACCATAGAGGTAGGACATTCTTTTGCATTATCCATGTTAGCCTTTTTCAACAGCTCCTTAATGTACTGTCCTTGGTTTAAGTGCATGCCTGCTGAGTTCCTTGATACTTGTATTCCAAGAAAGTGATGAATATCCCCCAGGTCCTTCAATGATAAGACTGAACTCAAGCTTGAAACTAAGGAGTCAATATGATCAGTACTGTTTCCCATTATCAAGACATCATCAACATACACAAGAAGGAAAATTATGCTTCCCTTTTGAATTCTAAAGAATAAAGAAGTGTCAAGATGGATCTGAACTTGCTAAACCAAGCTCTTGAAGCTTGTTTTAAACCATAGATTGCTTTGTTGAGTTTGCAAACCAAGGAGGATGATCCTTTTTCAAAACCAAAAGGCTGCTTCATATAAATGTCTTCTTGCAAATCACCATTTAAAAAGGCATTGTTTACATCTATGTGTCTAACTTTCCAATCATGATGAACAGAAACAGTGAGCATGAGTCTAATGGTAGTTGGTTTTACAACTGGACTAAAAGTTTCATAGAAGTCCAAACCTGCTGCCTGAGAAAAGCCTTGGGCAACTAGCCTGGCTTTGTGCTTAATGATGTTACCATCAGTCCCCTTTTTGAGCTTAAAGACCCATTTACTTCCCACTAAATTCTTTCCAGCTGGTAGAGGAACAAGTGTCCAAGTTTTGTTTTGAATCAGTGCATCATATTCTTCTTTCATGGCAGTTTTCCACTGATCATCTTGCAAAGCTTCATCAACATTCTTTGGTTCATCCCTTCTTTCATCAACTAAGAAAATTCTTTTTGGTTTGAGATTGCCTGTTTTAGATCTTGTGATCATATGATGGCCTTTTTGAATCTGTGGCACATTCTCATTGAGAGGAATAGACTCTTCAATAGGAAGATTTACTATCAAAGGAACAGTGGAATGAGAGTCTGAGGTTGGCATCTGAAGAGGAGATTGGGAGTGATGATCATGTTGACTGTAAGGAGTCATGGAGTTAGATCTGGGAGAAGACCTTCTGCTGACATCAAACTGATTTGTATTTGCATTCTTATGTAAACCCTCAGTTCTTCTTCTTATATCATGTTGTTGAAAAGCTGGACTTTGAATGAAGATAGGAGAATTAATCTTTTGTGGTAACCTGCTGTCAGGCTGAGAGTGAAAATGAAAGACAGTTTCATCAAAAACCACATTTCTTGTGATAATAACCTTCTTTGATGGCAAAAGAACCTTATATCCCTTGTAGTTAGAGCTGTAACCAATGAAAACACTTGGTAATGCTCTAAATTCTAACTTGTGTTTATTCAAAGGTCTGATATGGGGATAACACCTACAGCCAAAAGCCTTGAGAGTGTTATAATCAGCTTTCTTCTTGTACAACATCTCAAAAGGAGTTTTGAATTTTATCACCTTGCTGCTAAGTCTATTGATTATATGAACTGCAGTAGAGAAAGCATCATCCCAATAACTTAGAGGCAAATTAGACTGAGCTAAGAGAGAAAGTCCCATCTCAACAATGTTTCTATGTTTCCTTTCTGCAACCCCATTTTGTTGTGGGGTGTAGGGACAAGAAATTCTGTGGTGTATGCCTTGCTCTTGTAAATAACTTTGCAAACTCTTATACTCAGTCCCTCCATCAGTCTGAAAAGCTTTGATTTTGAAATTTAATTGATTCTCAGCTGCAGCCTTGAAATGCATAAAGGCTTCCTTCACTTGAGTTTTGTCTTTCAAAAAATAAACCCAAGTGTACCTGCTGAAATGATCCACAAAACTAACATAATATATAAAGCCATTTGAAGATTTGATGGGAGCTGGTCCCCAAAGATCACTATGCACCAATTCAAAAGGCTGAATAGCAACATAATTAGATTCTGAAAAAGGAAGTTTGTGGCTCTTGGCCATAATGCAAGAAGGACAAATATGGGAGTCTTCATCTCTTTTATAAGAGATATTACAATCATCCAATGTTCTTTGAATCACATCTCTACCAGCATGGCCTAGCCTATGATGCCAAATGCTGGGAGTCAAAACACTATTAAAAGCATTAAAATTAACATGATAACTTTCTTCTTCTGATTGAACTGGACCATGTGATTTGTTCTTCTGAATCTGCAAGTTGAACTTGTATAAGCCTTCTTCAAGGGTTCCTCTGAGGAGTGTTGTCTTGGTAAGTTGATCCTTAACAAGACAAAAAGTTGGATGAAACTCAAAGTATACTCCATTGTCAGAAGCAAACTGAGAAACACTTAAGAGGTTTCTAGTTATAGTAGGAACATGGAGTAAATTTTTCAGTATAAAAGCCTTTGAATCAAAAGGGGATTTAAGAGTGTCATTACCAACATGTGTGATGGGAACAACAGCACCATTTCCCATTTGAAGTTTATTGTTCCCCATATAATCTGATGCCATGTTCAAATTACCAAAATCATTGGTAACATGAGTAGTTGCTCCTGAGTCTGGGAACCAGCTAACCTCTGAGTTGTTATCTGAAGTCTGGGGATAAGGGACACCATATTGAGGACCAAGTTGAGCAATGTTAGCTGCAGGGTGCCTTGAGAAAGATTGTTGAGCAGATCCATTGTTGCCTTGGTTGGTATTTTGATTTCTGTACCAACATCTGTCTGCACTGTGCCCAGGAACTTGACAAATTTGACATATGAGTCTTGAATTGTTAAATTTGCCTCCTCTACCTCTGTAGTTCCTTCCTGGTCTTCCACCCCTATTTCCTTGAAAACCTCTGAATCATCCTCTATTAGTTTGAAAGTTGTTCTGAAAGTTTCCATTAAAGTTTCTGTTTTGATGAGCTTGAGTTGCTGAGTTTATAGAAGGCTGAGATCCTTCTGAGTTGAGGGTTGTTCCAGATGTATTGTTGGACTCCATTCTTGCCTCATAACTTAGAAGTAAAGCTTGTAGCTCAGCCATTGAACATGGTTCAACTCTAGAAGTCACACTTACCACCACCACTGCATCATATTCACTAGGCAAACCACTTAAGATATGAAGGATTTGGTCTCTTTCAGAGATAACATGACCTGCTGACCCAAGAATATCACAATAGCTCTTCATTTTGCTAAGATAATCCTTCATAGCAATACCAGATTTCTTGAGAGTTTGCAGGAGAATCTTATACTGCATTATTTTTGCTTGTGACTGGGTAGCAAAATTGTTTTCAAGCGCTGACCAAATCTCACTCGAAGATCCCAAACCAACAGTTAAGATGAGTATGCTTTCACTTAAAGAAGATAATATCCAGGAGGCCAAGATCTGGTCTTGCCTTTGCCAAGTAGTAAAATCAGGATTAATCTCATGGTTACCTTCTTGATTTGTGATGAACTGCTCTGGAACTTTTGTGTCCTTCTTGATGAATGACTCCAGGCCATATCCTCTTATGGTTGTGAGGGCCTGTTGCTTCCAGATGAGGTAGTTTGATTCTTCAAGCTTAATAGAAATCAGCTGGTTCACAGGATAGAAGATTTGGGGTGGAACTTTAGTGTTGGTGTTAAGACCACCATCTGTGCTCGTTGAGCTCTCTTCAGCCATGGAGTGTAAAGAGGCAGAAAAGAAAAAAAAATAATAAAAAAAAGGATATCAGAGTCAGGTATAAACCTGCTCTGATACCATGATAGAAAAACTCATATAATCATGCAGATAGATCACTAAAGATTGAACATTCATTTTTCATAATAATGGATCTGTGTATTTCAATGAATAATGCTGCGCAGCTTTCTTACATCTACAAAGAGAGAGAACTGATTTTTATACAAGGAAAAATAGGGTAACTAGAGAAGTAGCTTAGGATCATGCCAAGTGTCTTCATCTTGTGCTCTTGGATCAAGTGAATGAGGACAATAATAAAGCTGACATTCTTGTTTAATGTCGTTTTGCTTTGCTGCAGATATTATGTCCACATGTCCATCCAAGGTGGCAGGAAGTCTTCTTTTTGAATTTTCAACGTGTGCATGGAAGACTTGGGGTGCATGGAAGACTTGAGGTAATTTAACATCTACGCATCAATGCAGAAAAACCTCATATAACCGTGGCTTTTGCATGACTTCCGTAACTTCTGTTTGAAGAATTGCTTTCTAGCTTTTAAGGACGACGTACAAGATTGCAAGGCTCGTTAACTATCGCTTGGTAGATAGTGGGAGAGATAGACTCGTTCGAGCAAACTACACTTTGCCTTTGCCATCTTTTTTCAGTTTAGATGAACTTGTTTTGAATTTGTGCTTGTGTGTGTGTGTGTGTGTGTTCGACTATTTTCCTTCTTTGTTTTGTTTTGTTTTTTTTTCCTTTCTGTTCCTCATTTTCTTGCTAAGCTAATAAACTTGGTGTGTGTAAGTTGTAGATGATCAAGAGAGTGTATTCCTGATATGGATTTTTCACTTTTTCAGTTTGTGTCATCACAATAAAATGTTCCTTTTTTCCTCATCCACAAAACCATCTTTTAAAACAAATGAATTGGTGTTAAAAGATACACACATTAAACTCATCCAATTTATATATTATTTACCATCTGTAAGCACAGAAAAAAACAAATATCACTGTTTTTTCTGCTCTTTTACTCATTCAAGTTGACACAAAGGATTGGGGCAGGAAAAAGAATAGTCCATGAGTTACAATGTGAAAGAATTTCATACAAAGAAATTTTAAAGAAATGATAATGGTTTAAGCTACATGAAAAGGCAAACCGATCGATTTCTGGGAACTTCTCGGCTATAAGTTCACTCAAGTCGAATGAGCACTCAAGTCGAATGAGCTGGGGGAAAGTAAACGCTAGTCGTTTAATATATCAAGTATTTCTAGACTCTTGATGATCCAAGCTTTTGCTCGAAAAGGAGTCGAAGGAGGAAAAATTGAAGGCAACTGACTCCTATGAGTGCCAATGATTCGCAAAACGCCTTGTGAACTGCTCTTTGGCTCATAGCTTCATTCACTGCAAGCATTCGAGAACAACAAAAAACCAGACTTAGATTTCGTTAAGGTTGCACCGAAAAATGGAACAAAATACTTGACCGCCTATGATTTTTCGTAATTAATTACCGAGCGCCTGACGATCAGTTTGTGCCTCTAGCCAATGCTGCTCGAATTGGATGTTGTACAGAGCTTCTTCTAACTTAGAAATCTGTTCTAGCAAGGGGTTGAAATGCTCTACAAGCATTACAAAAAAAAAAAAAAAAAAAGCTCATTAAAGTAAGCCAATAAATATAATTCTAATTAGTTAACAACAATTTGCAAAAGAACAAAAAAACACAAGAAATCGAAGCATTTGCAGAGGAAGTTTACCGTCTTTTGCGTGCTGATCATGGTAAGGAAAATGACCAGCAAGAACATCAAAATGAATGGTCTCTTGAAAAGGAGACTTGTTCGTGAAGCAAAACCGGTAGAGACCACTTTTTTCAGCCACGAACTCGTGTTTATCACTCGTCTTGTCGTGAAACTTGTGTATCAGCTCGCCCGTAGGGCCCTTTATCTAAACAAAGAACTGGTTTTTACGACTCATGCGTTTAAGCATACATAATTAATCATCAAGTTTCGGAATTAGGAGCGAAATTCTTCTGTGCGAGAACGAAAGAGAAGCAAAATTGAGATTCTAAAGTCTAAATCACCCCCCTCTGTAAAGAAGAATTAGATCACAGAACAGATATTGATGACTCTAAGATCACAACAAGATTAAATAAATCAAAGTACAAATCAAATCAAACCATAACAAGGAAAAAAAAAATGGACAAAATCATTACTTTACCTGGAGATCAACACCTTCATGGCCATAACTCCAAGGAGCATCAGCTTTGATGACAACAAACGAGACATGAACAGTCTCGCCGGAGTAAACAACGTTGTGTGACAAACATTCTTCGTTTTTTATCTCGAATCTTATCCCTAATCCAAATCTCAACTGCATCATCATCAACATTATTAGGATCATCGAAATCGTCATTTTTATTGGCCCACAGATCATATCTGCATGAACCATTTATAATTCAAACACAGACACAGTGGGAAAAAAATTAGATTAAAAGAAAAAAAGATCGATGCATGCATTAACGTAAAGAGTAATTTAGATTCACAACATAAGGTTAATGAGACAAGAACATGAAACTTACTGTCGGATTTTGAGGATGGCTGTGTTTTTGGAAATTGGAACATATAGTTGAGATTTCAAGACAGTGATTCACTTAAAAATAGTAGGTGATGGTGAATTGTGTCGTAAATTACACTACACTCCCTTAAATAAAATAAGGATTTTATTTGCCACCTTCTCTATTTGATGTTTTTTCTTTTTTTGGTACAAAAAGAGGAGGCAAGGCGCCTAGTGGTCTACTGAGTAGACATCGCGGGGGTAGGCCACACCAACAAGGTCATGTTGAAGCCATGGCCGAACACCTCCCGGCGGTTCTCTATTTGATGTTTTTATTGCACTTCAATTACACAAGACTCCCTTAAATAAAATAGGATTTTATTTGCCTATGTTTTTATTGCACTTCTGCCCTTAAATCACATGTCTTTCATTTATCTGGAATCATCTACATTCAAAGATGGAACCCATCCCGACCAAACTCGAGCTTGAGACATACTCAAGCAACTCGAACGCAATAACAAGCTGTGTTTGGGCTCCTTTTTTTGAGGTTTAAGCGGCTCGAATATATACATAATTACCTAAATACATCTGCGACAGAACTCTAAAATTTAATTGTTGAAGTTTGGAGAAAGTTTGAGCATTATTAAACATCGAGTTAATCTCAAGCATACTTATTAGTTTCTCGAGCCGAGTCCAAGAACATTTTACATGGCTCATAACAATCTTTATGATTAAACTCCATATTAATATTTTGAATAGAACACATGAGGCTTGACCATCTTTAAAAACAAACTAACATGAATACCAATAAAACAAAGAAATTAAACAGATCTATTCTCAAAGACGCCTCCATTGACATGTTGGAAGATTACAAATCAAAAGCCACATACAGTACTTCTATACATAAAGTTCACAATAAGGTTCGGTAGAAGAATTAACCAAGAAAAACATCATTATCTTGGTAAGCTCTAAACACTAAGCATTCACTTGAGATATTCGAATCATTCTTAAGTTCCTCAAAAAGTGTGAGCTGCAGCTATCCTCAATTCATCAACTTCCATCCACTTGTCCTTGAGAAGCTAGATGTGCCATATATTGCTGCCAAAAATGAAAACAAAGATGTAAGATCAATGATAAACTATTCTAGATAATATAATATCAGCTTTCATCCCAATTAAATCTCCCTGGTTGTGAAGGCAGTCGAGTATAAGTCACTGTCGTATGAAATAGAACAGCCTGAATTTTCAAGAATCGCCAAAACATGTAACCAAAAAGTAATTATATCATCTAAGTTTGTGTTGTATAAGCCACTATGCTATTCATAATCTTGTATCGTCTAATCATTTTCTGCTAGTTAAAATTTGAGGTATTAAGCTGGCACTTTTTACACTTCCTCTATAGAATAGATCTGAAGAAAAGCATCTTTTAAATTAATCTTCAAAACGCACCAAGGTATCATGTCAAAATTATAACCAAAGAAGTGAAGAACTATAAAATAATGTTAGCTTACTGCATGATAGGCATATGGTGATTTTCCTTGACGCTCAAAATGCTTGGCCAAGATGCTCCATTCAATTGGCCCCCAGTCTTCCACTTCAAAGCAATTGCCAAGTGCAGCTTTATATAGCTACCAAATATATTAAAATCTCAATTAACCAAATTTCAAGCTGTGTAAAAGAGAGTTAGATGTCCAAGGCCTATAGCACAGTGTTCACAGCACAAAAATAATCAGTACACTTCAAATAGAAGCGAAGTATAACATTTTATCTGTATACAAACACATATCTATTTAAAGATAAAGAAAGTGAAAAGGAAAGTTAAACTTCACAGCAGTTGCATCTCAAGCTGAATTTGCTGGTCGAATAATATCATCTCACCTAAGACGCCGTATATCATCTAATTGAAGACCAGGTCTAATGGAATAATAAAAACCGGAATGTGGCCAAACTTTCATGCAACTCAATAACAAATTCAAAATCAGCTGCTAACAGGTAAGTTTAATCCAATTTAACATGCAAGCAAAAACTCAAAAGACCAGAAAAGGGTCAGGCCACATCAATACCTACAGCCGATGAACTTTACTTTTAGTTGGTTTTCGGCTAAGCCATTTGCCTCCTAATTCAGCCAATTACCTTAAAACAAGTTGGGAAGTAAATTAAGTCGAAATTGTTTCTTTTTCTTTCTCACCACATAGTACACATACCTTTGCTTGGTCAGCAAGAAGTTCAGTTCCAGCAGGAAGAGATGCATAGAACTGGTCAGCTCTTGAATATCCAGCTCTATTCCTGTATAATATAAAAATATAAGTAGAGAAAATTGATAATATATATATATTTTCATCAACTTCACACAAAGTCTCTCCTTTCCAGTTTTGGGTAACGAAAATACAATTATCTTTCAACTATCAAAACTAAGCCACAATGAAAAGCAAACAGTAAGTTCCGGCACGAGCAAGTTCTAGAGATTGAAGGAATAGAACAAAGTTCCACTTGGGCCTGTTTTTTCCCATACAAGATTATCGACAGTTATTGGAGTTATTCAATTAAGAAATAAACCAACATTTCGTAAACTACAAACACGCAGGATTTGGAAAATGAAGTGATTAATCAATCAAGACATGAATCTTACCTGAACACCTGCTAAAAAAGAAATGAACTTTTCATCAGAAAATCAATCACTTCTTCCTGATACAATAATGGCCTTCAAAACTTACGTATTGTTAGTGAAGACATAGCTGATGAGCGCAGTAAAACAGAAGAACCCTGTATAAGACACCAGTCTCCGAAACTTCTGAATCTTTAGAATCTCAAGCCAGCCATCATAAATCCGCCACATTTTCGGTGAACAAAGCAGAAAGATAGGACTCACGCAGACATTCCTAAGACAGACACATATGCACATATGCAATCCGTTCAAGAATTTCATCAAACATGTAATGCGCAGTTTTTTTTAAAAAAGATAACAATAAGTTTTTCAGCTCGCAATCAATTTCATCTGGGCCCGTGTCGAAAAAAAAAAATATATAATTCAGCTCTGAAATTAAAAGTGTTAACCTTCACCCGCTAGGTATCTTGTCGGGGCAAAGTCCTCCCGCCAAATCGACGGCCAAGTTCACTATGTGCTCTCGCTCGTGCAGTCGGAGGTGACAACTCCAAATTGGGCTTTATATCGTTATTTAATCACTGTTTACTTTGGACAATTGACAATTTATGGTATATAAGAAATGGTTCGGCCCAACTTTAGTCCAATGAGCCAAGAGGCAATAGTGTGGAATTAATGACATCCACTATCTATTTTAGATTAACACCCTCATAAATAATTAAGACAATATTACCTCTTTAGATTTCAATTATACTTCTTTTTGTGAACGTTTTTAGGTTTTCAAAAATTGATGGTTTTTATTTTTTAATTAAACTGTGCATTGTAGAAATTTTGAATAATAAATAAATATTGAAAGGGTTGAAAGGGGTGAGTGACGTAGATGGCTAATAACCTACATATTCCAATTCAATTAATCACTATAGATTAATCAAAGTAATAGTTATGGGTAATTTTTTATATTATATACATATGAAAATTTTGAGTGCGATGCTTTTTTTTTTTTTAAACGATAGGGATATTATAAATAAAAACGCACAAATATGCAAATTACACAGTCCCTAGCTGAATAATACAGCCAACAGCTGAAAAACTGGGAGGACATGTCAGAAGACCGCCTAGAGTCAGCCTAGCAACGCTATAAAATAAACTCAAAACAACACAACACAACACAAAGACTATTCTACGACGACCCCAACGGGGTAAAGAGAAATGACCCCCAACGGAGTAATGTGGAACGACCCCCAACGGAGTAATGCCCGCTCACAGTCGGGATCACATGGGCCAACGGCCCAAACTAAAAAACACGAATCCTAAACAAGCAACACACAAATACGAAAGAACAAAACAAATGACAACACAAGAAGACCTAATAGCTAGAAAAATTAAATAAAGCCCTCTTCACCAACTGTCGAGCTACCTCCAGACTTCCCAAACAAGCACAGAGCGTAAAATAATCAACCGAGAAAATCTAGCCCACGGCCCACACACAAGATATGGAAACTTCCTAACGGCTAACTAGATTTGGACCAATCGACTCGACAACTCCCCGAACGACCACCACCGGAGCAAAACCGACACCCCAGCCTTTCCCCTAGTATCCCGCGACCACAACCACGCCGAAAGAATCGACTGCCGCTCTCGCCGGAGGTTCCAACCGCCTCAACACCAGAGACAAACTGGAACTGGGAGAAGTCCAGGGCCTCCGATTTGAGAGCTGGTTGCCAGTAGAAGCCACCGACACTCGCTTCCGAGAAAACCCGACCAGATGTTGCCGCAGCACCTCCTAGCCATGGCCGCCGAAACCAGTCGACAGTTGGAGGAAGCCTCTCATGCCCGCCCAGTCGCTCCTTTTCAGCCCCGATGTTGTCCCGAGCTCCTAACTCGTCGGGGAAGAAGGCCTCCGCCAGTGAAGAGGCGAGCGCCGATAAATTTGCCGAAAACGAGGGTTTAGAATTGGGGGAAAGAGAAAGAGACTTTACGCTCTCGCCGGTGAAGATGAGTGGGGTGCTTTGCAGCAAAAAAAGTTGAGTATAGATGGGAACAACGTAAAACTGGAAAGATGATAGACATTGTTTGAAGTTCATACTAAAAAATTCATCGTACATTTTGAAGTACAACATAAAATCGTAAAAATGATCGACATTACCTGAAGTTCATTCTAAAAAAATTATCGTACATTTATAAGTGCTTTTGTGGTCTTTCAATCATATACTCAATATGCATTGCTATGTCGTGTCAGTTAATTAACATAACTAGAAAACCAACATCACTTGTATCAACCTAGGTGGATTCCTAAAAAGGTCTTACTTCATATTTGTTAATTTATGTCCATATCCACTGTGACAAACCTTAACCAAAGAGCCCGTCTTACTTCATATTTGTTAATTTGTGTCCATATCCATTATGACAAGCCCTAACCGAAGAGTCAATATTAACAAGATGAGATACACACACGCACATATATAGACATGGCAAAAAACCGGACCGGGACACGACCCGGCCCGGCCCGACGGGCCACCAGGTTGGGTTTTGATGACCCTGAACCGGCACGGACCTAGGGTCGTGTCGGGTCCATGACCCGGCAGGCCGGGCCGGGCCCGACCCGACCACATTAAAAATTTAAAAAAAGAAAGAAAAAATTCAAAAGCAATCTATCTTTCCGTGCCGACACGGACCCGACCCGACCCGGCCCGCCGGGTCAAGGTCGAAAAAAACATGACCCTTGACCGGCCCATTTAAAATTCGTGTCGGCCCCAGACCCGTGGTCAACGAGTTTGACCGGGCCGGGTCCGGGCTGGGTCGGCGGGCCGGGTGACCCGTGGCCATGTCTACACACACACACACACACATATATATATACATATATATATATAATAATATAATAGTAATAATAATAATTTTTCCAAACCGTATTAAGTGCAGAATAATAATAATAATAATAATAATAATAATAATAATAATAATAATAATAATAATAATAATAATAATAAGGGTTTTGCCAAAATAAAACTCAAACCTTTTGTTTAAGTGCATATAAAACTCAACATTTTCAATTTAGCACTAAAATACAAATTTTTTTCAAGTGTTGCAATATTGTCTCAAAGTTGACTTTCGGAGAAGGTCCACTGACATGGCTGATCGAAAAATTGACGTGGCACTCAAATTCATTAGTTTGTGCCACATCATCAGACACATGTATTTCCAAATCACACAACCCCCATTAGGTTCTTTTTTCTTTCTTTTTTTTTCTGAGATTTGTTCGCAAATGAGGAAGAAATGAAGAACATAAAATTATAATGGGGGTGTGTGACGTGGAGGGTGTGTGATGTGGAAATGCATGTGTCTGATGATGTGGCACAAACTATTGAATTTGAGTGCCACGTCAATTTACCGATCAGCCATGTTAGCGGACCTTGGTCGTAAGTCAACTTTGAGACAATATTGCAATACTTAAAAAAGATTTGTATTTTGGTGCTAAATTGAAAATGTTGAGTTTTATGTGCAATTAAACAAAAGGTTGGAGTTTTTTGGCAATTAACCCTAATAATGATAATAATAATATTAATTATTATTATTATTATTATTATTATTTATTCAATAATTAGAATTTAGTTTGGAGAATAAACTAGGGTTTGGTTTGAGGGCATTATTATAAGGGCCCTTCTGCTTTGTTGCTAGTGGAGTTGATTATTGAAGGAGATAAGAATTTGAGTGTTTTATCCTGTTTAGATGTTTTTGAGATTGCGATCTCATTTATATCATCTCACTCGTATGCTTCCCTATATCAGTTGATATCAAAGGCATGTCGTTTATGAAATGAGAGAGTATTTGATACTGTGAGTTCTTCACGAGATACTCTCTCGTGAAGAACTGTCGTGAAGAACTCGGGGCGTCCCGACAGCTAGAGTTGCAAACGAATCGAGCGGCTAGCGAGCCGCTCCGAGCGCTCGAGTCAAAACTCGACTCTAGCTCGAGTTTGACCGAACTCGAGTCGAGCTCGAGCCCACATTTTGCCTTGTCGAGCGACTCGAGATACACGTTAAATCATTAAAATACACCTTATTATATATATTAACATAGGTGCTTAATGGTAATTTTACCTTTCCACTTAAAAATTTTCGATTCGAGCTCGAGTATTTTGATTTCGAGTCGAGCTTGAGCCGTCTCGAGCTATTGTAATTTTTTATTGAGTCAAGCTCGAGCCTCAAAAATCGAGCTTGACGAGCTCGAGCTCGAGCAGCTAAAAAAAATCAATCCTGCTCGATAAGGCCAATACTCGACTCGGCTCAGATCGTTTGCAGCCCTACCGACAGCGGTCCCCGTCACCTCTGAACGACACGGAGAATAGAGAGAACATTTGGTCGACAGACAACCCGTTCGCTGGTCGTACGAGCAGGCACGATGAGGAGACCTTGGACGATTTTATATTTCGCGACCAGAGGCAGTCGGCGTGAAAGCCCTACGCGATGGTCAACACCGCGAGCAGTGGAGACGAGACGGGTGTTTCGCGGCGGCTTGGGTGTGCGAAGAACAGCGCGTCACTGGAGAGTTCGACGAATTCCACGGTTGCAAGCAGCGTCGATCTGATGAGGCCGGAGAGCACGATGGACGGCATGCTGACGAGGGGCGTGGCCAGCGACGTGGAGGTGATGGTAACCAGCAATGAAAATCGGTGTTTCGAATAGACGAGCCATTTTCTGATAAACTGCCGATTTTTTATGACGAGCCATTTTACGACGAACTGCCGATTTTTTATGATGAGCCTCCACGGTCGGAAGATCTCATTGTGGAGTGTAGTTCACTTTACAGCAACACCAACAAAGACTGTGACCCATCTTTTTGGGGAAAGAGTGTGCATGCCAGGGGCGTAGGTTCTGCTCCAATCCCAGTAAGAAAATTTTCACTTCACAAGCTGGAAGATGCAATTATTTGTATGCTACATCTTGAGGTTAAGCAAAGTGCAATTGAACTAGCAAAAGCAACGGAAGATGGCGATGGGTGATTCTAACACGTGATGACAAGTACTTTCAAGTTATTGACCTTTCGAGTAGTGTTGAATTTTTTAGTTTTGTGATGCCCGAGGGTGTTTGGTTTGGAAGTAAGGGTCCTATATTGTGTGGGTCGGCTAGAGCGGATGTTGAGAGATATTCAATCTTCGCAGTCGATAGGAGGAAACGTCGGATGAGATTGCCATGGGTACAACTCCGGTTCGGCACGTTTGATGCGACTTCGAGGTGAAGCCTTTCGAAGTTCGAACTGAAGGAGAATGATGCATAAAAGTTATTATTATTACTACCACTATTATTTAAATATTTTGTAGCTTTTTTGACGATCAAGTTAGGTTTATGAGCCTTATATAAAGGACTTCATCTAGTTTATTTTTCCTTGGTTGATTATTAAATAAAAATAAGATTGATTTGGTTTTTATCGTGTTTGAGATTGAGATCTTATTCATATCATTCCCACTCGTATGTTTCCCTACATCAGTTGGTATCAGAAGTCAGCACGATTCACGATGTTGTCACGAAGACAAGATGTTGCAAACGACAGACGTGTCGCTGCCATCTACAACCTGAGCCGTCGGACCGAGTGTTTGGCCGCCGACTC